TTTTTTTCTTCATTATTTTCGTTCTTCACATCGATTCGCACATGGCGTGCGCAAATATTTGCTTTGAAGTTGTAATTTTTCATTGGTGAACCGTCATGTTCAAAAGCCCGCACGCGCATTTTCATTTCATTTTATCTGTTTGCGTAAGAAAAAAAATATTAAAAAGGCATGGCATAGAAGTGTTACATGCAAAAAAAAGTCGCTGATATACAGAGTGCATAAAGTAAATGTACTGCAGAAAGCAAAAAAATAACGCGCGAGACAAGACGAAAAAATAAAACAGAAACAAAAAATCAAACGAACGGCGAGCCTCACATAAAAACGATCAAAACGAAACACTATCGGCAGATACAGATAAAAGGTAAATACATCTGTCTCACTCCCTTCTAACATCGTCATCATCATTAACATTTCTGATTCATAGTACTCTTTGCACACACACACACACACACACACACAAACAGCGATGTACAAATTATTTTAAACGCAAAATAAAAAGAATTTCAAAAGAATAGACAGCAACAAAATAAAAGAGTAAATTTAAAACTAAAATAAAACTCATCTGTTTCATTGATAACTGGGTACAAATCATCTTGAGTGCAACAAGAGGTTTTGGTATGTTGGGAACCAAAATCTCCAAAGTGTCATGCTACAAATTCACCACAAAGTCAACGATTATTAATAGCATATTTATGTTGTGTGCACATTGTACACGTACAAGCACATTTCAAAGAAACTTTCTTTGCCAAATGTAAATGAAGTCTTTAGTGAATGTATGTACTTTATGATGGGGCTTTTAAAATCTAATTGAAACGTATGTCGAAGAGCTAGATAGTTATTTCCTTTGTGTTGTGCACATCGTTGCCCCAAGTGAAAAATCATATCTTTTGCTGACACAGAAATAAGATGGATGGCCTTTTCGATTTATGAAGAGAAAGTTTCGTTTGCAATGATCATTTTGCATACGGGATTGTGATTCATGTATATGTGCACCTCTTGAAAACAAATGTCCCGTCATAATAGACTAATAAGCATCTCTTTTTTCTACACAGTAAACTCAGGCCAGCGTTTTTTTTTATATGATGCAAATCATATAATGCGCAAACACTTGGTATATTCAATGGAGATACTAAATATCAAGGACATTACAAGTCGCTTTTTTGCACAGATATTCAATTCACTTTTATGTTGTTGTTAATATTCTTCTTTCGTTTGTATTTATTAATTAAATGTTTTAAAATATGCAAAAAAAAACACACACATGAAGGGATAATTTTCATTCACATGTTCCGTGTGTGTTGCCATGAATGTGGTTTATAGTATACAAATTAAGCATCAAAAATGAGCCACGTTTTGTGATACACACTCAATGCAATCATTTTCAAACGTATTGATGAAAGACGGTGAATTCAACGATCTGTTCACGAAGTAATGAGTACGATGGAGCCAAAGTGAAGTTCACATTCATTTAATTCATGTTGTGGTGTTGAGAAATGCTGAAAATTGTTTTGGCTTTGATCTCATCTTAAGGCTTGGTAAGTTTTTTTTTTCAAATTTTCCATGTCGGTTTATAATTTGTTCCAAGAGGCAGACCCATTTCATATTCTTTCATCAGTTCATTTATACATCAAAAGAAATTACAAACAAAAATATAATAAACAACGAAAACGTTTGTTTTTTTCATCATTTCTTTGTAAAATAAACATTGACAGGTATTGTCCTGTTAGTTTTCATTAAAGTTGCACAAATAATGGTACACAAATTAGCAGCAACCATTTTTCCCATACACAATAACTTGTTTTTTTTTTCTTCCCTTCCGCTGTGATGAGCAACAATGGTGTCAACAAGTTGGCTTCAGTAGATGAAGAAAGAGGCACGTATTTTTAAGCAGTTAACATTGATGAGAGAACTCACACTTTTACTCTCAATTAATCTCATGCAGGAGAAAAAAACCAACTAAACTAAAGCGAGCGCTTGCATTACACAAAATCGTCCACAAGATGAAGAAAATGAATGCGAATATGAATTCAGGACCATTAACATAATTACGATTTTCAAGTGGCTACAAGTGCAATCCATAATAATTTGTCGCCATTGCAGTTACAACATGCAATTTACGTTGGCTCGTAATGACTTCAATTTAAAGTTCCTTGGGCATGATTTAATAACCACAGAAATAATATATTTTAGTTGGATGATTGCGGAAGGACGAACGCATTACCAACGCGAGCGTGCGTCCGCGCTCACACACACACACACACACACTCACATTTGACAGACACAAATAGATGCCTTGAAACACCTCGATTACATCGCCAAGTATGTATGCTGTCAAGCCACAGTCTCGGGGCAATCTGTTCCTTTTGTTTCAATGCGTTCATTTCTTTTGTCGTCTATGGTTTTTATGGATGAAGAAGAAGAAAAACATACGCAATTGAGTGATTATAATCTGTCATTTTTCTCTGGAAATGTCGCCCATTGTTTCCTAAATAATTATGCCTACCATTTCACATACTTCATTTTGTTGTATATTTTGTGCCGTATCCTCGGCAACACAAAGAGAATCAAAGCAATTCTAAGTATTTTAATTGTTCATAGGCATTGTACATTTATGCTTTTGAATTTGTTCAATGGATAGATTTCTCTTGTTGTTGTTGTTTTTTTTTATTTCATTTCAAACCTTTTGTCAGTACTGTGTTATCAGCATTACACACGGCACATTCTTGGGTGGAACTGTACCGTATGGTGTTGAACAAAAAATAGACTAAGAAAGTTGGCCAATCACCGAAATTTTGTCAGAATGTCATGGAACTTCGTTGGGGGTCGCAACTTTTGATAAACATCTTGATACGATAGTTTGTCTGAATGTCCCTGTGGTGTGTAACTTGGAAACATGTATGTTTTGTTATTGATCATCCACGCATATTGGAAATAGTTTGGATTTTTTAAACATTGAGCGGTTCATATCCGAACTTCGGATATATTTTCGGATTATTATTTTTTTTTGTGCTTCATTTAGAAAGGTGAACAGTGATATGATTTTGCAAATCAATCAAAAAAAGATGATGAGATTATTTCATGAACATGTGTCATTTCATAATGTATTAAAAAAAATTTGTTTGATAATAAGGATTCTTCATGTATTCAACATATATTTATAACTGTTATTAATTTATACGTAATGTAAGCGATAAAATGCAGAGTAAACACGTAGAAGTATCATTCTGACGATTTCAAACAATGGCATTTACAACCACAAACAGTCATTTGATGTAAGGCACTGAATTCTTCTTTTTTTGTTATTTGTCGATGCACTTCGAATTAGCCGCTTTGACAGATTCGAATGTAACAAAAGAACAGTTTACTGTTTTCACTATTGATATCAATCGTGTTGCTTAGCTGTACTATTCTATTGTCGGTTATTTCTTCAATCACAGTGAAAGGACTTTTTTTTCTTCAAAAGAAAAAAAAAACAACGAATCATAATTTATATTTTTTCCTCTTCTCTTTGCCTCTTCGTCCATTTCTTTAGTTTCATTATATTGTTTGGACAAAGTGATTCCGTTCCATGTTGAAATGTATTGAAAGGTTTATGTTCTTTGATTGCATGCCGTGTAAACTGGCCGCTACAAAGGATAGGCGGAAAAGCTTCGAAGAGAAAATATACACACAAAAAATGAAGATAAAGAATATATATTTCGACATACGCGCTTCAAGTCTTTTGCTTTTCTCTCTCTCTCTCTCTCTCCCGTTAAAACCGATGTACTGTTTCACATATACACAACACAGATCATGTGAACATAATGTTCCGTATAATACGATGTCGGTGAATTTCTAAGAAGAAAAAAAACACACACACACACACATACGCACACACACATTTCAATGCCTTGGGTTGAGGCGAAAAGAAAAAAAAACATGGCGCAAAGAAAAGGAGTTAAAGCCAAAAGCCGAATGGAATAAAAATACGAGAGAAAAAAAACAGAACGTAAAAAAAGAAGAAGAATACAAAATGAATAAAGAAACGTCTTTTGAAATGATTTCGGGTATCTTTCTCTCTTTCTCTGATCAAACGGCAACAAATCGGTGGAAGTTCGTTCGTACGTTTCTTTTTTTATGTTACAACATAAATTCTTTTGAAACGGATGCATTTTTGATCTCATCCATCGTTAATGTGTTGCCATTTGATTTAGTCTTTTCTTTGATTCTTCGACTGCTTTTCATTTCCTTCTTCGTTCGTATGCATCTTTGGACATTGAAGAGCCATTACTTCAAAGGGATAATTTCTGTGCTGCTGATTTGCGTATTTCAAAACAAATCAGATGAAAACAATTGATAAACAACAAGAAAATAAGATGAGGAAAAAAAGAAGAAGAATCGCTGCCTCTGTTTTGCGAAACAATTTAAATGCATATTTTGAAAATGTCACAAATGCGGTTGCTTCGAGTTAATGTATTTTTTTTTATTGGAATGTACGTTTCAAATTAAAGTTGAACGATGTCATTCTGACCACATTTTCAACATTTCCAACTGAGATTATGAAAAAAACAACAAACGTCACGGGTTTTATCTGTTTTTTTGGCCTGTTCATTTTTGTCAAACTTTTATCTTGTTTTGTAAAAACATCGTAAAATCAAGTATTCGTAAACAACAATTCTCAATAGTTTTTTTGGGACTATTTTCAGACCATTATTTTATTGATCGAATAGAGAGCAAGAGAGAGAGAGAGAGAGAGAAACTCTTTGCAAATGTCACAACAGTATGCGAGTGTGTTGTCCAATGAAATATTACATAAAACATAGGATTAAGAAGACTGAAATTAAAGAATGGAATCATAAACAGATCTTTGAACTTATGCGCTTTCAGTTGTCACCGAAAGAACCTTTTAACGAAAGACCGATCATACCAGGAAACATGGTCATAGTTATGTAAACTGTGTAGATAAACAAAAAAAAATGGTGTCTATGTGTTTGTGATGTTTTTCATGTGCCTTTTCTTACCTGAGAATTGTTTATATCCGCCCAATATTTTATGCTTCCACCATTTGACTATGTTTCCAGCCATAGTGAATTCGCTTCCTTGTCCAAAGTTTTATAATTTTTTTTTTATTTCACTTTCAGTCGATTTACAACCTTATTTAGCTTTCGAATTGCTAATGTTCTGTTGACAACTTAAATTGTACAACTCTTTTGCTATGTGCTATTGCTGCACTTTATCCAACTTCATTTTCTGTATGTCTCCGGGTATCATTTGATCTCGAACTCCTATTCAAAAATGATACATTGAAGAAGAAAAAAACCGAAAATATTAGATAGTTCCTCTTTTTGTCATTTCATTATGAAAGGAATATCACATGTTCATAATCAATAGTTAACAATACTGTGACATTTATGTTTCGTTATTATTTAAGTAGTTGTCATTGCATACACTTCAATTGTTTTAGTATGATTCATTCGAAAATAGGTATGCATTGACTTTGAAAGTGAAAATTGTGTATGTCTGTGAATTGTATAGTATATAATCACCTTAGTTGCACATTTGGATAATCGCAACGTACTTGCACAAACACATGAACACATAAAAAAATTTGTTTTGTATGGAATGTGCTGCTCCGATAATTATGATTGAGTTCGTTTTACCGTTAATCGAATATTTTTCAACACTACCGATTAAAGTTGAAAAAGAAATGTTTATTAAACAGTCATTGATTGAAACACTTCTATCACAATATACAAACAACATAAATTTCAACCGTACTTGGACAACGAACGAATTGCCGATCAGTAAAATAAGTGTACCGAATATGGAATGATTGAATTGTGATGAACTTTTTAAATATCTAAAACGATTTGTATATATTTATATATGTGTGTGTATATCGTTAATTGCACACCCCGTTATTAAAATGACATTTTTTACGCGCGCCACAAAAATACTATAGCACGATTTCGACACATTGCCAGTCGTCAAAAACGCCAAATGCGTCCGCTTAAACACAGTTCAACACCCATTCATTTCCACTTTTGAAAATAATTTTACACATGTTTTTGTGAATATTGGTATTGATGCTGCTGTTGCTGTTGCTGATGCTTTTGCTTTTGCTACTACGGCCGCTGGATATGTAGCCTGTAATGTTGATGTTTGTTGTTGTTACTTTTCTTTTTTTGTATATGTTAATATGGTGATAGTATTATTTTTGTCACTGTGCCTTTTCTCCCATTCAAATCTATGTTTCTCTAAAATATTTCGTATTCAAATCAGGCCGTCGTTGTTATTTCCCAGAGGATTTTTGAAATAGAATTCATTCGTTTTCTCATCGATATTAATGGAAAATTGTTTATCTTTCACATTCACTTCACATTGTTGATTTTCTTCATTCTTTCAACGAATTCAAATTGATCGCACAATTCTTTATTATTCAACATTTTGGCAAGTTTGTTTTCCATTTTTTTTTCTTGTATTTTTTTCGTCAAATTTCACCAAATCGACAACAAACAAACCAAACACTTACACATGAACTTATAATGTAAACAATTTTTTATTTTTTTATTTTATTTTATTTAAGTAGCAAAACCGAATCGAGGCAGAGACAACGACACACTAATCCTCTCACTCGTCGTGGTGGAAAATCTGAGCATTGTTTCTTATTTTTTTTTTTTTTAATCGTATTCGTTTTATGTCCAAAGAGATTGTTTATGATTTTTGCAATGTTTTCAATTCCGTATACACGCACGCACTGAGTAAAAAAAAGAAGCAAAAAAAGTCCGTAAAAAATTGTTGTGTCTTTTACGGATAAAATTCGTAGGCCAACTGAATCGAATACGTCTTTCTCTCTCGTCCCATTCGAATGAAATGTATGACTCTGACTGAATCAAAGAAATGCTTTTCGATTCGTATCTCGCTCATACAGTGTGTTGCTGTTGCCGCGCGCGCGAGCTATATATTCTATTGCCATTTACCGTGTCGAGTAAATCTGCTTGTGTTTTTTCTTTTTCTTCTTCTTCGCTCTTTTCGTTCGCCTGAACGTTTGAGTATATGTGGTACGCATGAACCCATACCGAGCGTATACATACATTTCAAAGGAGAACACATTCTCAATGGAAATCGTATACCAAGTCGAATCAGTTGTTCTATTCGATGCTCAGGTATTCACACACAAGCATGCTGCTGCTGCTGATTGTATTCACTACACTCATGCGCCATCCTGCTTGCGCTAGCATGCGTTTACGATTTTCTCTCTGTCTTTACGTATATATTTTTTTGACAGTCTCATTCTCAAAATATATACGGATAGCACATGGATTCGATATGGAGACAGAGAGAAAGAGAGAGAGACCCCATGCATATGTGTATGACTTTTTGTTTCAGTGATGCCGCACGATGCCGATTCACAGACTCACAGATAAACAAACGTTATATCTATAGAGTGAGAATCGAGTATGTATCTGTAGTTTCGGTTCCATTTATGGAACCATATGCGTTTACGATTTATCTGTTTCGATTCGGTACGCGTGCGGTACGTTTATAATATTTTCCATGCGTTATACTGTAATTTTTTTTTCTTCTTCTGTGTTTCTCTTCTTTCGTCGCCATCGACACATCTCGTCGCTCTTAAGTTTACCGAGAAGACGCATTCGGTATGTGTGATCGAACCACTGATCAGATTGAGCAATCTTTTTCCGACACCCAATGCTTTTTTGCCGTTTTGTTGTTAGCATTAATCTCATTCGTTTTCGAAACATCAAAGTAGGTTTTTTTTCTTCTCTTTCAATTTCATCACAACATACATACTGGCCGTAGCCCACAAAATTTCAAAAATCAATGTACAGTCGATTAATTCGTGTTCACATTATTCGCTGATCACCGTGCGGCTCAGTAATTCATTTAAACCTTTTACTCGGCACCGCGTAACAATCTTTGAACACCAGAAATAAAGGGAAACGAAAGAAAGAAAAAAAAAAAAAATAACAACAGTGCAGCGACAATGGCTGCGGGTTTAGAGGGAGCGCGAATGAAAAGCATAACATCAAACGGCATGCAGTGCATAATGTATGTTCTTAGAATATGGGCGGCTCATCCTTTTATTGCTTTTTAATGTCATGTCATCAATAAAAGTAGAAAATTCAACGCCGAACCCAACGTCGACTTTTTTCCCTGCCTATCTTAAATGCAGCAGCACTTTTATCATTTTTTTATAAGTCTAATATGATGGATTTCAAACAATTCCTATGTTTTTTTTTATTCTTGGAATTTATTTCTTTTGGCTACCGATTTGATCATTGCGCCGATATTGCAATTTTCGCCAATCACCGGTGTCATGCTCTGACAATCGTTATTTTTGGTAGGAATTATTCAAAATTGCATTGAAATAAATTGTTCATTAAAATGCACAAGTTCATAAATATCAAATAAATGCAACGAAATCGTTCATTTGCTGCCATCTGTTTGTCAGTTCCATTCATTCCATTTTCCATTCGTTTCAATTCTCTCGAGTTTGTTTAGTACATTTTTATGGGATTATTGAAGAATAGACTGACATCTATTGTAGGGATTGCAATACCATTCTCAATTGAGAAATTATTATTTTTTACACCATTTTCTGTTTTAACTCCGAGAAATATTCAATTTAACCGAATTTCTTTTTTTTAACTCTTTTATATGTTACAAATAATATTGTTTCATTAATAAAACGCCTGTTAAATGATGAAAATTTATTTAATCTCCATAAGTGCTGTCAATAGTGTATCTTCCAGTTATAAAAATGATTTTGTAATAAATTTCAAATCGAAATTTATTCAATCGCATAAATCAATTCCATAAAACAAAACAAAAATCCATTCCAATAATAAAAAAAATCAAAACCATTCCAATAATCTTTCATCAAAGCTATAGGTATTTTCAAAGTGTTTCAAATGAAGCGCCCGTTTCAAAGTGTCCACTAGTTTCGAAATATCCCATTCGTTCACATTTGCTGAACTGGTTTTGGCTGGGCTGAATAAAACAATGTTGGAGAAACGTTTTAACGACCAATAGTGTCATGGCTGCCAAAGTGACGCGCTGTGAAACCGAGCAAAATATCCAAAGTGAGCAAATCGTGAAATGAATTAAATATTGTGAATAGATTTATTTACAATCAAATTTGTAAAATGTGAAGCCGATCGAATAAAAAACTTAAAAAAATACAAAAAAAGTGTAAAAAAACGTGTTTAAAAATTTCAAATTAAATCGAAAATTGTGTAAAAATGTGTGGTGTATAAATATAGGCAAGTGAAACATTAATTTGGTTCCGAAAAATGAAAAAAATCACAAGCATTGACTTGATTACTTCGAATACATGTGTGTTGTGGACATTTAAGCATTCCGAAAATGATGAAATCGTGTTTTGATGTTTGTTATGAGTTTTTTTTTCTCGACTATATTCACGCGTGGTATATGTTTATGCCATAATAAAAAAAAACTGAAGAATATTTAATCAAGGCATTAAAATGACCAACATAATAAATGCTTCCAGAAAAAAGAACATACAAGAAAGCATTTACAAAAAAAGATGCTTAAATAAAATCAGAGTTTAAACAATAAAATCACTAGTGATTAAAAAAAAAACTAAATAAACAAAAGAAAATACAATAAAAGTGATTGTTTCTGTTTCGATTGCTGCTGTGATGTGAAATCATCCTACACACCAACCAAAACCAAAAATGGAACGCTCGCAAATCATGCAGAAGTTCGCCAGTGTGGCTGAACATCCAGAACAATGCTATGATTTTGATTTGCAACGAAATTTAACAACATTTTTTGAGTCTCAACAAAATGATGTCAACTTTAGTGAAGCGGCTTTTCTCATTTTCGACGCTGCCCGAATTTATGGCCGAAAAGTTGATTATGTCGAACAAATTTTATTGGATTTCAATCAACGCAGTGCAATGAATGTGTCCAAAGCTATGGCAGAAAACGAGAATGAAAAAAATGGTGAGAATGCTGAAAAAAGTGGTAAAAAAGATAAAAAAGCGGAAGAACAGCGAGAGAAACGTGAACGAGAAAAGGAGAGAGCATTAAAACGGGCCAAACGAATGATAAAAGTTACAAGTAAAGTGGAATTCAAGCCAAAACCATTTGAAATCGCTTCGTCCGATCAAATCTCACTGAATCTTCATGAACAACGTAGCGAACTCGAATGTGAAGAGGAATTCGATCAGTTACGAATGAAAAATGTTTTCCCGCGCATAAATGTGTTGCAAAGTAATCTGCAGAGTAATAACACATTTTACGATAATCTTGGCATTGAAGAGAATGATTGTGAGAATTTGGATTCATTGAGAGATTTTCGTATATTTATGGACACCATTGATGAGCCAATTTTTACGCGACCCATGAATGGAAATGTGGTTGATCCAAAATACGAACAAGAATACAAACGATCAATGGAACGCGCCAATCAAAAGCATTCCAACATTTATCTATCGGCCGATTATATAAAAGAAAATTACGGTATCACATTGAAAGATAACAGCGATTATTTGAATATGCTCAAGTACAACGAAGAGGTTGAACGGCTGAATCTTCGAAAATTAACCATCGAACAGTTGAGCAAATTAAAAGTGGGCACGTATTTGAATAATATTTTGCATGGCAATAAACAGGATGGCAAAATTGCCGAGCATGATTCTGGCATCGATGTTGATGATGACATGGATTGTGAACCACCTGTAGGTCCCGAATTTGATGGTGAAAATACCAATGGATTTGATGAATTAAGCACACTGCGAGACGATCAAAATATACTAATGACAGATCTAAGTACAAACGATACGTCCAAAGAAGATGACAGTGTACTTGACATCAGTGCAATTCCATGTGACGATATTACCATGACCGATATGACATCACAATCTTTAAATACAACAAATGACATAACCACAGAACAATCAATCAATTCAACCAACGAACCGGTGTCTGATCAATCGCTTAACACAACAATCGATCCAGCAAGTGACCAGTCAACAATCAATGCAACCGCTGACCAATCACTCAACACAACAAATGATTCAGGACTTGAAAAAAGCGCCGATGTTGCGAATCAAAGTGCTGAAACATTAAAAGAACATGAAAGATGCAACAGTTTACGTCAAAGTTTGGACGATGGAATTGGTGCATCGGAATGCAATTCACCATGCAATTTGGATTCGTTTGAAGGATTCAATTCAACCGATTTGAATGGTTGCAGTGAAATTGATCAACTAAATGGCATTCTGAATACAGTGAATGAAACAACCCTAAATCTTGATCAAACCCTTGAAAAATCAAAAGTGCCTGTACTTGATACAAACATCTTTAAATTGCCGGAAAATTTATTGCGACGTAATAAAATTTTCATGTTGACCGATGAGTTTGAGCTGTGGATGGCGGCCAGAAAACGAAAGTATGGTGTACTCAAACCGGAACCACCGAGCTGTGGAAAACTCATTAAGTTGAGCAATGGCGTTTTAATACGATGCGATCCGGATAGTGATACGGAAGAGTTTTTGGGCTTTGACGAACAAAATAATTTTCGAACAGCACCCGGCATCGTTGTTGTCGAATCAAATCCAGCTGCTATTGCAAATAGATCGTGTTCGTCTGATTCGGGCATTAGCCCAGAAAAGACACCGAATGCGGGTGACGATCAATCCCAATCAAATCTAAATGGCACCGATGAGGTTAATGATTCCGGTGTGGCCGAGTTAAGCAGTTTAATCGATGCAAGTCAAAATGTTTGCACCGATTCAATTCAAAATGATTCAGCTGAAAATGCGGTAAATGAAACAACTGAAAATGTCGAATCAACGCTACAAGAGACTGACGTGAGTTTGTCTGATACAAATGTAAATGCAAACTCTACCAAATTGTTCAACGAAACGGCATCAATAGTGACAGGCATTGATTCTGGATTCGCCGAACTAGAAAGTCAACTGGATTCAACTGCTGGATTGGACGATGTAGATGGCTTAGAAGTTAACGCCAATCCGGAACAACCAAAAGATGCAACCGCAAATGAAGAGCAATGCATAGAACATGAACCATTAATTGGTAAAATTCATAATTTTTTTTTTGTCAAGTTTCACGAGATTTATTTTTGTTTTCCTTTTTTGTTTTCCAGATGACGCTGTTGAATGTGATGACAATCACAATGACGAATCAAATGATGACCAACAAAACGATAATGTTCGATCCGAAGAAGGTTTCAGTGACATGGTTGAACGAGTCAGCAAATGGCATGAAATGCTTCGGCCCGTGCTTGCCAATTGTGAAAAACGAAACAATTTCGATATCCATGCACTCGGTACGGATATTATCGATATGTTCCAACCAGAAGAAGATGATCAACCCAGAGAAATCAGCTTTACCGATGTGATGAAAGAACGTGATCAAACATACACAGCACGTTACTTTTTATCGCTGTTACTGTTAACAAACACGAAAAATGTTCATTTGAATATTATGCATCCAGAACAAAATGGCACCGTTGTTTGTTCAAAAGATGATATGCGAATCAAACTACTATCACGTACACGACATCTGGACGAAGTAAACAAAATTGATCAACGTTTAAATGAAGCACCATCTCGAGCAAATCCCAGTACAAATACAGTGAAAAATAGAACAGATGAAGAAAACGACATCCAAATGCAAAGTACAAGCACACCAAGCGGCGCTAAGAAGAAGACGGCACAAAAACGCAAATGGAAAGCGATCTAAATGATGATCTAACACGGAGGGAAGGAAGGAGAAAGGAGGACAACAAAAAATCGTTATTAGTAATAAGACAAATTGAAAATGTAGATTTTATGAAAACCGGTTTTCCCGGAAAAAAAACGCATACTGATTAAGTAAATGTGAATAGCGTGCAATTTGGATACTTAGCAAATGAAAATATGAATATAAATATAAGTTAAGAAAATGTCTGTGAATATGTAAAAAATTGTTTAAATTTTTGGGTTTTATTTTTAAAACGCCAAATATATGGAACATATTCAATCTAGTCTCGCTATTCAAATTTTTTTTTAAATATATTTTCCAATAACAATTCATTTAATTTGAACATTTATCCCAAAAATTGAAATGTGTCACAAATCATTGTAGAAATAAGATAGGGAATCATTTTTTTTTTAAATATGTCCATAAAAAATCGGTTTTACGAAATAGGCAAATTCAAAAACACAATAGATCCAACAGTATCCAGTTATAGTGCACAAAATCTCTTCTGTTTGTACAATTTTTAGCATTTAAGCAGAATTCACACGAGGCTTAACATTTAATTTATTTCACAAATGTAACTGAATCAACACACTGAAGTAAATGACATAATTTCATCACATCCTTCTTTTTAAGTTATTTTTAGTCACAGAATATTGAAATTTACCTACTTTCTGCCCTGAATATGATAAGATAATTATTTTCTTCGCATGATTATGCAATACATACTTGGACTGACTGTATACTATAAGATTTTTTTTTTTCACAAATCCATTTCTTATTTTTTAAGAAGAGTTTTTATCAGAGATTTTATTGAGATATTTTCTGCCAGCTGAATCAGTTCAGGTAGCTAGATAAATCACTTCTATTTTTGCTCCTTCATTTAAGCGCCTGGCCATAGCATCTTGAAATGATTCATTTGGCTAAAAAATATCTCAATATAATGTCTGGTTTTTATTTTAAACCTGCGTAGACCAAAAGATTGTACTAAAAACAAACAAAAAAATTTATCCACCCCTTTTTTTTAATAGAGTTGATGAGCTAGATTTTAGATCTGAAATATTAGTAGGCAATTTTATGTAACAAAGAAAATCAATCACTATATTGAATAAATGAAATAAAACAATTCAAAACACATTTTCAAACTTTCTGTAATTCTTCAGCAAATCTCTTTTCAAAAAATTATACAAGCTAGTTTGTAAATTGGGAATGTTCGAGACGTTTTTTTTTATCCGTTTTCTTTAACGGATTGATGAATTTAAAAGTGTCGATAATTAAAAAAAGACAGTTACGCCATCTATCGAAAGACAACAGAAATGATATTCTTCATTATCGAATATTCAAGATTAGTAACGCGAAATCAGATACTGATTTTTTTGTTTAAAATATTCATCATTTTTAATGAACAAAAAAATTATAATTTAGTTTGATGATTTTCATTATTTGTGTCTCTGTCTTGTGAGTATTCCGATTGTTGTTGTGATTCTTCCGTATTAATATTACGTGATTTTTTAATTTCGTTCCATTCTTGCACCTCAGCCGTGCCCAAAAACCAGAACAACACAGCAGGTACTATGTAGCCAAAACCGCCGACCATAAACATCGCTGACCATGGATTAAAATTGTACTGTAATTAATGAATCAAGATATTTTTTATTGAAATTGAATCATCGAATCTATACGAAATTTTGTACTTACAATGGGTCCATAGTGTACAAATAGATTCTTCAAAAGTGGTCCAAAGAATCCAGAAGAAAATCCAATACCATTTATTATCGAATATAATGTGCCGGCAAAATTTGGTGCAAGATCTTGTGAATTTTGTAAGTTGGTCAATGTCGCCGAACCATTAAATCCTAATGAAAGTGTTAGAAGGGATATAATGAGACCGGTGTTTTTAATATATGGAACTGCCAATAGCAAGAGTCCGGGAAGAATGTGAGCTGAAATCGAATAAAAATTGAGTAAATATTTTCGATAATCGAGCACACAGCCGAAATCAAACTCACAGAAGATACAGAAAAATTTTCGGAGAAAAGTTGAATTTGTGTTTCGGTGTCGCAAGTAATCACCAATTTGACCGAAAAGAAAGCCGGCTAGGAATCGTGCCAAATGCGGTAAGCTTGAGTAAATGCCCGACTCTTTCATGTTGAAGTTAAGCGAAGACTGCATGTATTCTGGTGCAATGGTTAATAAAAAGAATAAACCCCATAGATTGCCAAAGTGCAACAATATGAGCGATATGAATGATATCGATGAAAATATTTTACGATAGGGAGGTATTTGCTGAAATGAAAATGTTTTCATTTATATAGATTCAGATCACGTTAAAAGTACGTTCAAATTCCAGTTCAATATTTGTTACCTTCTCTTTGGAAACAGTAGATCCGAGGGATGTTTCAATATAGTTCACCTCTTTCTCGCTTATAAAACGGTGTGTATGCGGTGTATTTGATACCAGAAGCATCCATAGAACTGTTGTAATTAGAACGAGCACGGCCTCACCATAAAATGTCGATTCCCATCCATATAATTCTGTAATATATGGGGTCAATTGGAATGTAAAAACGGTGCCAACATTGCCACCAAGCAATGCTGCAACAAATTTTCCTTTTTCATCTGGTGGCGCCCATTTTGATACAACATTATGCAAAGCTGGAAAGAATACACCCTGTTTTTTTTTTTTTTTTTTTGAAAAATTATAAATACTTTAACAAGTTATTGTCTTTCCGTGAATTGTTTATAAAAATAAAAGGTTTTACATTAGAAATTCCAAGAATGACTCGATTTGCATACAGCGCCCAAACTGATAATTGGCATGTTATTGGAGTCGTTGCTGTCAATATGACACTTATAATCAATGAAATCGTTGTAGTCAATGAACCGCCATAGAATTCAGTTATGAATCCAGCTGGAAAGGTCGATATACAATTACCGAAGAAAAAAGCGCCCTGCACCCAGCTAACTTCGTTACTTGTCCATTCGTAACGTGGTCCATTCTTGAAATGATATAATATCCATTTTGAATTCTTATACAAAATTTGACCAAAATATCTTAAACTCACATCCGTATCATTGTTGTTTTTCTGCACCATTGCTAGCTGCGAAATCGCAAAATTCGAGCGCATAATATATGTAATGAAGCATATGGCGAAGGACATAATTCCAACACCTAAACGAACTGGAACTCCGGGCAGGCATGAAACTAAAAGTAATGAATCTCTTATTAGTCATCATTGACCTTAAACTTGAGCATTTATCAACAGAAGTCGTAAGAAATGGTTTTATTTTCACATGATTTTTATCTTTCGTAAATTGGTATTACAAGTTTATCACAAATAGAATTTCATGGGATCGACGCACTTCAATCTTACTGATATATAAGGAGATAAGCTTTTTACTTTTCCGCACACCTAGTGTAGGGAAGGTATTGTATTAGGCCAAAAAATTAAAGTCATCCAAAAACATGTTTTCTATGCATATTTAATGTAGAAAACACGATTGGAGATGATTTTGGTGCATGTTAATGTGGGTCGCTGTGTGTGATGTGTCCTGTGTCCTGTGACCTGTGACCTGTGTCCTGTGTCCTGTAGCGTGTTGCCAAAATTTGTTAACTCGATAAATCTTCTTCCAAAAACTCAATTCAAATTCTGACTTTGCAGGATGATTTGGGACTACTAGGAGACGTGTTGATAAGTTTTTGAGCAATATCTGTTGACCGGTGTAATTTTTTTTGGTCCGAATGGAGTACCCACAATCCCACATCCATACATTTTTTGATAATTTCTCAACCATTTTGGTGACACGATAGTTTCGTGCTCGGACATGAAATTCAAAATGTGACTTCACGAAGTGATTGGGCACTACGAGGAATAGATCTAGTCAAATTTTCAACGACATTGATTGATCGGTGTAAAACTTAGACTCTGAAGAGGCACTTATGAAAAAAATGCCTTAAAATGATATTCTTTCAATTTGAACGTTGAATGAATGTGTAGTGGGGGGTTTTTTGGCACGAGAAACCCGAATCTGATGTTAGTTTTAAGATGCAATCAATTTTTCACACACTTTTCATACAAAAATCCACAAAAAGTTTCATTTTTGTATGAAAGACTTGCCTTTGTGGTACCGTAATGATCTGAAACTTTGAACAGGCTATTTTTGGATTGAAATTTCTTTAAACTTGGTGTGATTATTTATTTTGATAAGAAAATAATATTCACAAGTTTTCACGGTAATTTAAGTTACTGCAACCATACAAAGACCATGATTTCAGTTTATTCCCAAAATTTCGGTTCCATGCGGAAAAGTCAGCTTGCGTACGTAAGCCTCTTTATTTTAATGTGTAATAGCTTAATTACGAATAATTGATTAAAACCTGTATTTTAAATCAGACCTTGGATTACGGTGGCGAGAATATCCGCTGAGATAAGTCGATGGGTATGCGATATTCGTTTACTGCGTACAGGAACACTTCCATGTTTATAACATATGTTAAGAAAGTCTTTGGACTAAATTCAGATGTCCACCAACAAAAAACAAACAATATAAAATTCTTTTTTATTGGTATAAACCTTTATTCATGGGCTATCGAATAGCACATTTGCATTACACTGAATGGATCATTGTCTTCGATTTTAGAAGTTTGTATCTAACCTTCAAAATCATGCTCTGGACAACCGATTTGTCGATTATTTTCAATTTTCTCTCAATACATCCAACCAATTGTTACTCGTTTCAAGTATTTTGGACCTTCGTCTATAACATACATCCAAAAACAGACTAGAAATAACTAATTTGGTGTCTTTTTGTGAAGTTAAAAAGATGGTCCTTTTTCCATGGAAATGCTATATTTTAAGAAGTGAGCCAATATTGTGGTTTTTTCTACTTGCAAAGCACAATTTTGACTTTAATCAGATAGTTACAAACGAACTCTATCGATTTCAACAATATTTGGTTGATAATTGAGCTAGTAATGATGGTTTAACCTTACATTTCAGCACTAAATTTTCGAATATTGGCTCTAAAACACCTTCCAAAGAAGATCCTACCATACAAACACGCCTTTATCAAAGTTCGGGTTGTCGACGTTTCTAGCCTTATATACTCTGAAAAAAATGTTGTGGGGTTATGTTCGACTTTACGTGTTGACATTTATTTACACTACAAAAATATAATACTTCAAAAAAAAATTGTGGTGAATTCTAGTACTAGAAATATTCATGAATTATAAAAACAGCATACATTTTTTTTGTAGTACTAGAATCACCACAATATTTTTGATAATTTTGAATTGTTATATTCTTGTAGTGTTAATAAATGTCAACACATAAAGTTGAACATAACCCCATAACAGTTTTTTCAGAGTATTAGTGCCCTAACATAATCAATGCAAAAGAAACCACTTGCACTTGATTCGTGGTTCGATTTGGCGATGAATGTCTCTCTAACCAAAATGATGAATTTTTCAGCGCAACATGCTATGAGATGAAGTAAACATCCAATTTTTGACACCCTTTGCAATTTTCTCGTAACTTATTTTGCTGATTACTAATGATCGTGTCTAAATCTATTGTATCTGTAACCATAAAAATCACCAAAAATGAATTTTTGCTTGACCAACCCGGTTTTCGGTACTTAATGACAATTTTGAAGGGTTTGAGCATTTAAATTGGGGATACGACCGTACTTTTTGCATTCTCTAGAATCTTTATATTCATATTAAGTCCATGAAACACGATACATGGTTCGAAGATAGATTGGTTCATCTTTAGACACATGCAGAATTTGTTTTGAACTTAGCTGTCCAAATCCATTTGAGACACTTTTTCATAAATCCAATTTGTACGTCATTGCGAATGAATATAAATGAATGGTTTGAGTTTGACAATAGAGTAGGAGTCCCGTTAAGTATCCTATGTGCATTGGTTAGCATTTTTATTTTTGTTTATGTATCGCAATAAACGCCTGAATTTAGTCCAAAGACTTTCTCAACATATGTTAATCACTATACTAATATTATAAAGAGTAGAAGTGATTGTTACAGTTATAGAACCAATCACCATAACAATCACTTCTAAATAAATAGTCCAATTTACAAAAAATCAACTCCTCGAATCAAGTTGAAATCAGAAATTTTACAATTTTGTACAAAATTTTAGTTTAATCTATCAATGAAGCTTTTAAATAAACAAATAATCCTGGTGATTCGTTATCAAAAAAAAATTAAGAGTTCACATATCTAAAATAAAAATTAATTTCAATATGTCTGTAAAATATGTTTGTAAAATATTACACTTTCCAATTTGAGTTTCTGCGGCCGACGACCAGTGTGGGTGATATAAAAGTATCGGTCGGATGACGGCTTTGAAAATTAGTATTTTGCTATCGATCGGTATGTGAGCACCAAAATTTAATTTCGAATCTAAAGTAACTGCTCTCCTATCTTTATACATAATTTCAAGTGGTATAGCGAAGTACCGAAAAGACTGTTGATAAGCTCGTTGTAAAAGAATTTGCTAAATCTCTCCCAAAAATTCATTTCACTGTTTCAAACTAATTCATTTTTTTCCGTTAAAATTATGTTCCATCCGAATTATGGTGCATACGAGCTTCAAAGCGATCAAAGTCGTATTAAATTTTGATATAATGCAACTTTTAATCGTAAGGTTTTTGATGATCGGTTATTGTCCAAAGTGTATGGTAAGAAATGAATTTTGTTTGCTCAGTTCGAGCGTTCTTCCTTATTAGTTTTTTGATTTAAATAACACACTTACATGATTTTGAATGCATGATTCCTTTCAATATTCAACGTATCCGTGAATGTGAAATCAAGTCCCACTTTTAATGATGTTCAATTTCTGAAAAGATAACACCACCACACAAAAAAGATGCATTTTTATTATTACAGATTTCAATTTTATACGGATGTTTTAGTTTTCAAATAAAATTGGGTTCACAAAAACGGTTACTAAATAAAGAGCAAATCAAATTTTTCAATAGTTCCATTAATTAAGATTTTTTTTCACATTTAAACGTGCAATTGAAATACGTTAGAATTTTATTTCGTCGGTAATGCGTTCAAACATATAACTCACATTATTATCTTTAAAAGAATTAGATTTTTAATCGTTTAAAAAGAATTGAAAATATTCGAACTATGTCAAAGTCACTTGAATTGTCCGTTTATTCGAAGGCCAAAAAAATACTCAAGCGTCTTACCTCGTCTTTTGAGAATACCCAATTAAATCTTTTAAAATGATATTGTCATAATATAAGCCAAAACAAATATTATCAAAATGTGAACAATCTCTTGGTTTCATTTGAAAACAATCACAAAATTCAATTGTCAATAAATATTTTTTTGAGTATGTGTACCATATTTACTTAAAGTCGAAGAATAAGAACATAAAGCGAGACAGAGAGAGGTACACGTTATCAATGGCACACATTTTAAAAAATATGCATACTTCCCCATTTTATCAGTGTATTTTACTACGAAATTTATCCGCTGCTATCAAAGTGTTTGTAATTCAGGCGCATCTTCAAAATAAATTGACAGTTTTATTTAAGATTCTTGATTCGAGTTTTGGAATATAGCATTTCAACGTATGTGTTATCTCAAATTACTACGAAGATAAGTTATTGATTACATAATTATAAACGTTTCAAATTTAAGTACTTCTTACTTCATCTTTTCATCATTACAATCAAAAGTAAATGAATTGGAGTAAGTTTTAAGATTTATTTCGAATTTTTTTGTCATCAATACAATCATCTGTACAAGATGTGTACTTTCCTGTACAGCATTTTTTCGAAGTTTACAAAGAAAATGTGTTTTTCGAAGGGCCTATTCGCGAAAAATTCCGGCGTTCTCGATTTTGGTGCTATTCTGGGTGTTCCAACGGAAAATACTTCTTGTTAGTAATGAAATGACAATCGTTTAAATGAGTTGTTTGAATAATGTGGTTTTTGGAAGATTACTCGATAGAATAAAAAACATAATTGCCCAAATCGTGTGATACGAGTATCATTTTTAATTTTCTATTTTATATAAAATAATGTTATTTTACAAATATTTTTAACAAACTGCATTAAATAAATAATAATTGGCCACTACATGTAAACCACATCTGATACACTACATTTTATATACAGATGATAAATTCAATAAATTAAAACAGAGACATGAATCATTTTTGTTTTCACCGATTCATTTCTAAATCACCGTTGCGTTTTAAATTTTATAATTTTGTGATTCTTCCGCACTACGTGGTTTATTAATTTCGTTCCATTCTTGCACCTCAGCCGTGCCCAAAAACCAGAACAACACAGCAGGTACTATGTAGCCAACACCGCCGACCATAAACATCGCTGACCATGGATTAAAATTGTACTGTAATTAATGAATCAAGACATTTTTTTATTGAAATTGAATCATCGAAGAGGAGGATCCACCTCACTTTCCTCCTCACCATTCCTCCTCCTCAGAGGAACATTGCCTGATTTTTATACTTACAATGGGTCCATACTGTACAAATAGATTCTTCAAAAGTGGTCCAATGAATCCAGAAGAAAATCCAATAAAGTTCATAATCGAATATAATGTACCAGCAAAATTTGGTGCAAGATCTTGTGAATTTTGTAAGTTGGTCAATGTCGCTGAACCATTAAATCCTAATGAAAGTGTTAGAAGGGATATAATGAGACCGGTGTTTTCGATATATGGAATTGCCAATAGCAAAAGTCCGGGAAGAATGTGAGCTGAAATCGAATAAAAATTCAGTTAATATTTTCGATAATCGAGCACACAGCCGAAATCAAACTCACAGAAGATACAGAAAAATTTTCGGAGAAAAGTTGAATTTGTGTTTCGCCGTCGCAAGTAATCACCAATTTGACCGAAAAGAAAGCCGGCTAGGAATCGTGCCAAATGCGGTAAGCTTGAGTAAATGCCCGACTCTTTCATGTTGAAACCAAGTGAAGAATTCATGAATTCCGGTGCAATTGTCAATACAAAAAATAAACCCCATAGATTACCATAGTGTAATACTATAAGTGATATGAAGGATATTGACGAAAACATTTTTCCATAAGGCGGTATTTGCTGAAGGAAAATACAATGTTTATCAATTGCTCAGTTATATTCGTGTCGAAATGTATGTACCTTCTCTTTGGAAACAGTAGATCCAAGTGATGTTTCAATATATTTAACCTCTTTCTCGCTTATAAAACGGTGTGTATGCGGAGTATTTGACACCAGAAGCATCCAAAGGATTGCAGTAATTAGAATTAAAATCGCCTCAACATAAAAGGTCATTTCCCATCCATAGGATTCTGTTACAGAACCACTGAATTGAAATGTGAAGACGGTGCCAACATTGCCACCAAGTAATGCTGCAACAAATTTTCCTTTTTCATCTGGTGGCGCCCACTTCGATACAACATTGTGCAAAGCTGGAAAGAATACACCCTGTTGTTTTTTTTTTAGAAAAATACAAAAACTTCATGTGAATGTTTTTTTCTTTTCATTGTTTATGAAAGTATTAAATGTTGTATATAAATAACTTACGCCGGCAACGCCAACTAAAACACGGTTTACATAAAGTGCCCAAACCGATATTTTAGACATTGCTGGTGTTAATGCTGTCAATACAACACTTATGATCAATGCTATCGTTGTAGTCAATGAGCCGCCATACAACTCGGTTAGAAATCCAGCCGGAAATGTCGATATACATGAACCGAAGAAAAAAGCTCCTTGCACCCAACTAACCTCGTCATCAGTCCATTTATAACGTGGTCCATACTTGAAATAGTTTGAAATTTCATTGAAAGCTATAATACAAAAGCAGACAATAATAATCTCATACATACATCAGGATCACTGTTGTTTTTATCCACCATTGCCAGTAGTGAAATGGCAATATTTGAACGCAACACATATGCAAAAAAACAAATGAAAAATACCATCACACCAACAGCCAGCCGAACGGGAATACACCAATCTAAGATTAAATTTTATCTTAATTGCTTTTCTAACTTTTCTATACAAAAACCACACACGAATTTTTGAAATAATCATTCGCCATACAATAAAAAAATATAAATAGTCTTAAAAAAATTGGATAACGAATGCTCAATTTTTTGTATTGACACCAACAATCACATATAATCACCAAGCCACACGAACTCTCCCCAAGTCATATCTCTCGAACATTTTAAATTACTTTTGACACGTGTAAACGATATAAAAAAGCGTGTATTGGCATTAGAGGTGAAGATTTCGTTTGAGATTATAAAAACTTAATTACATTGAGATATCATGAGAAAAGAACATGATGCGAGGAAAATTTAAAAGGTTTTTAATTTATATATATTTTTTTAATGTTTGCCAAAATCTTCTCTTAACGAAAATTTGATGAATTTCTTCACATTTTTTTCCTAAAATGTCGATACTTGTTTCCTTACCTGATCCTCTGCGATACATTGTTCAATTGCAATTTTTTTCTCGCGAACTTATTTTCTTATTTAATCCAGAGTATGAGAATGCTTTGTATTTGCGATTTGAATATTTAAATAGTTTGAATGTATTTAATGTCATTCAAGTACCTAAAAAATATACAAAACAATAACGATTTTTTTACTTATAATTTTTAATTTTTTTCTCAATCTTATGTTGTAAGAATACAAATAAAGAAAAAATGTGGTATTTTTAATTAAATTTTGATAGATTTAATATAAAATCAACCAACAACGAATTAAATTTACCATTTTTGACATCTCTGAGGCATATTTTTCAAAAGAGACCATCAGTTTAATAAGTTTTACCAATTGCTTCATTACATTCACCAAATTCATGGGCTAGCTCATCTGTGGTTTCGAAAAGTTTGTTAATGTAATGAAACAGTTGATAAAACTTATTCAACAAATAGTCACGTTTGAAAAATATGCTTCAGAGATGCCGAAAATGGTAAATTTAATTCGTTGTTGGTTGATTCTATATTAAATCTACCAAAATTGAATTAAAAATACCTCATTTTTTCTTTCTGTGTATTTGTGAACAGAAAGTATCTACAACAATGTCTTAAATATTCTTCAACAATGGAAGTAAGCGATATATGTGAATTATTTCAAATTTTAAGAGCCACTCAAAAACATTCACCTCTTGAGTTATTTGATAAAAATCTTCACAATAATCATTAGTTACAAAGATGCATCACGTACGGGTGATTTTTTTTTATGAATGATGATAAATTAAATGCACTTCGAAAACTGTTCAATCATAATGGAACGAATTATAGATTTTAATCTCTTTTTTCACATAGAAAAACTTCTCTCTTTCACGATCAAAATATTCTTTAAAACTGATTCGATTTATTCGCTATGAAATGTTGTAACAACTTATTGGAATGAGTATGATGAAAAATAATTACTTGTTTCAAACCGATTATTTTCCTTGATAAATAAAATATTGTCATGCCTAATTGATATAATTTTTTTTAAAACTAAAATTCACCTTACCTTATGGCATTAAGCACCACTCAAATCTGTCTGTCTGTTCGAGCATTGAGAATGCCCTTATATAGAATTAAATTTACAATACAATACGTTTCTTTTCTACAATAAGTGATAAAATACAAAGCATACATTTGTAAGAAATACAATTTTCATAAAAAAAGTGTGTGTGTTTTTTTTTTATCGGTGTTATCTGTTTTCATTCTGTCCAATGTTCGTGTGTGTTCCAGTTTCTGGCCCGATTTCTGCTTAAATTGAATAAAATATATTAAAACAAAGATGGTTCCATTTGAATTTCGCTGTATAGGTGAGAAGTGAGATATTAAAAAAATATTGAACCAAATAAAAATTATCATGCGCATCAATAAAATCTGTTCAATCTGATGGTGAGACGTAACGTCATGTGATCAGATTAATTTTAAACCGTATGCTAGTTAGTAACAGTATTCTAGTTAACAGTATACTAGTTAGCATAGAATTAAAAATCGAAAATTATACAATTTCTCTTTATTCGTTCATAAAATTTAACAATTTAAGGATAAAACCTAAAAATAACTAAATAAATAAATGAAATCATCAATAATACTATACATACAGGTGACAAGGTAAGCAAAATTACAATCATCCAAACTGCTTCAATGCATAAAATATCGAATCAATCTAAATGTTTAAAATCACATGATAATTGAATACAATTTAAAAATAAAAATAAAACGTAGTCGTTGAAACAATGAAAAAAAAAGAAGAACGCAGTAGTACAATTAATCACATGCAATAATAAGATACTTCGATACGTAGCTTCCATATGTTGTCCATCGTTTCATAATTCAAAATTGTGTCGCATGTCTCATTCGATTTGACAATATCTAAGAAAAATCTGTACTTTGAATGCACAACCAATAGCGTTCGAACATCTTAAACTCTCTAAAGAAACCGCCATCAAATTGTGTTATAGAAAAATTATGGCTGCGTCGCGGTATCATCATTTGTTTTCTCGTCGGTTTTTTTCGACTCATTCCAGGGTTGAACTTTACCACTACCAAACAATACAAATACTAAAGCTGGAACTATAGAAAAAAACAATGAATTAAAACTTTGCAGTAGTAGAATTATCTAGGGGCTCGGAACTTGAAGAAAAAAAAATCAAATAAACACAGTTTCGTATAAATTTGGTATATAGCGACAAATATTACAAATATTCGTGATTATCATGACACACAACACAAAATAAAATTAATAATCATGTTATTATTGCATAAAAACAATTTTCAGGCTAAAAATTTATATTTCTTTAACAAAAAAAAAATAATTTGGGTGAAGAACTTCAAAAGTGTGTAATTAATATTTTTATAGTAAGCCTTTGTGACTTTACAAATGACGTTCCACTAAATGACTTACACCATTTACCGCCATTTTGCGTATTTACGATAATCAGGAATAATGATTTTATTCACGAATATTTACAAAAAGTGAAGTTATTGTTCACTACTCAAAATGGACCAATATTCATGAATATGCATGGTTTTTCACGAATAAAAAATACTTCTGAGCCCCTAGAGAATTATAATAAAAAAAATAATTATGGTCAAATATTTACCAATATACGCAACAGCAGCTATGATAAAAATGATGCTCCATTCATCGAGCGTATTCTGAAAGATTAAAATCATTTAGTTAGATGTATACTTTCTTTCTTCATCAAAGTTAAGTAATGAAACCGATTGAAACTGACTTTTTCTTTGGTAAAGTGACCAACAACCATTGGTGTCAAGAAACCTGTTGTTGTTCCGAGGAAATTGATTACACCGTATAATGTTCCAGCATAGTTTGGTGCTAAGTCCTGAGAATTTTGCAAATTGGTTACGGTGGACGCACCATTGAAACCGAGCGATGTTGTAATCACTGCAACACACCAATACGGATGATGACCAACATATGCTAATCCAATCAAACACAAACCCGGCAAAATATGCGCTGAAAAAAAGACGTTGTCCATAAGTCTCCGATGAATTATTTAATGAAATTTTTACTGACTAGAATAGTACAGATAGTGGGGGTACAGGGTTAAAAAAAAATCGACATTTTAATTGAAAAAAATCTGTCTTTCTTGATCTTGATTTGTGAAAACACCTCTATCCCTGAGAATCTAAGCTCGAGCTCATGCATTACTGAACTAAATTTATATTATACTTACAAAATAAACAAAACGATTTTCGGATTGCCGTGACTGACATCATTTCGGACTTTGTCAGAGCATCACCAATCGATCCGAATAAAAATCCCGAAAAAAGTCGTGCAAGGTATGGCAAACTAGCCAACATGCCCGCTTGCGCAATATTGAAGCCCAACACTTCGCTCATGAATTTTGGAGCGGCTGTTAACAAGAAATACAAGCCCCACAGATTGCCGTAATGTAATACAGTCAATGCTAAAAATGGTATCGATGTCATTAAACTTCCGAATGGTGGTAGAGCCTGTGAAATACAAAGTACAATGAATATATTGGAAATGAATTGCATTTCAATGATATTTTACACACCTTTTTTTTGGATAAATTAACACCCAATGATTTTTCAATGTGTTCACGCTCGGTCTTATCAATATGTGGATGTTGTGCTGGTGAATCATATACGATAGCAAACCACATGATCGTTATGATGGCCGTTATGATGGCAGGTACATAAAATGCATAGATCCAGCCATATTTTTCGGTTAAAATTCCGGCAAGAGGCCATGTAACGACTGTACCGAATGTGCCACCCAACAAGGCTGATATAAATTTGCCACGTTCAGATGGAGGCGCCCATTTTGATATTAAATTATGTAGCGATGGATACAAAACACCCTTAAATGAAAATAAAACGCAATAAATGAATAAACAAAGTTGAAAATTTAAAAAAAAATATATATGTAAGAGATACATACCGCCAAGACGCCAGTCAATAATCGGATGCCGAACACGAGCCAATAGGAAATTTCAGCTGAAATCGGCGTTAGAGCTGTAAGCAATGCACTGCCTGCTAACGTAAATCCAACCACTGAACGTGCACCAAGCCATTCGGCCAACATTCCAGCTGGCAGGCTTGTCACCAAATACCCCCAAAAATATGAACCAAGCAAATAGCTTTGCTGTTCCGATGACCAATCGTACCGCGTGCCATACTGTAAATAATGAACACCAAAATTAACGATAAACTTTGTCGTTTGAACTTTTTATAATTCGTGACTCAAGAGATAAGGATTTTTGAGGCAAATTAATATTTTCCAACTTGAGATCATAATTAAATGATTTTGGATTGAAGTGACCTGACGTTTATTTGAAAACGATACTGAACAGAATAAAAATTATTTAATCGACGATAAAAAAAAATGTTAGAAATGACGTAAATTCGATTTTAATCTCAATAATAATGGATGTTGTCTGGGAAAGTAATTGACTCGCTAAATTACTATTGTTGCAAATAATAATTGTATATATTTATCTTATTAGTAAATTTCCACATTTCGTGAAGGAAAAAAAAAGAACCAGGAATTAAACTATAAAATAATTAACTAAATAACACTAATTGTATTATTGAAAATTGAAATTACGGAAATATTTCACGGGTCATTCACAGGATTTTTTTTTCATCGATTGAATTTCATTTTTTTTTTTTTTTTGTGAAATGTTCGGCTATTTGACACAAATCCAAGTATTTTTATACGACAGACACGTTATTTGTATGAAGCAAATAGTTGTCATGCGATCTTCTTTGCCACTTTCGCAAATCAGGCATGCAATCAATTTATTTTGTTCTTTTTATTTGCAACGAAATTATGGTATTTACGTGATTTTCATCATTACTTTATGATTTAACTTTTATTTACAATATTCGAATTAAAATTAATCATATGGCGACAAATAATAATGGACAATAAAAATTGTTTTTTACACCATTCGAAAAAATATCATATGATTATAAAGATGATATATCGCTAAATCATATCGGAATATAATTGAAACTTAGATTTCGTGTTCAAAATCTAAAAAACAAAAAAACATTGATTTTGACTAATAATGCTGATGATTTTTTACTTACATTTGGCTCAACGATGGCAGTTAGATTGTCGTCTCCAATGACTTCCACTTCGTGATGATGTACCATAGCCAATATGTTGATGGACATATTCACTCGAAGCATATAACTCACGAAACATGATGCAAATAACATCAAACCGACATACACACGAGTCGATATTTTTCCTAAAAAGAATTTTTTGATAAAACGAAGTTTTTGTTAATTACTGTTCAAATTGAATAAAAGACAATATGAAAATCAAACAAACTATCAACAATTCCATAATATTCAGGTTTTGGTAAAAACCAAAACAAAAGAACACTGATTTATTTAAATGTGATAATTGACAGACACCGAAAATTATCCGGTATTTTTTTTTCGGTGTTTGGAAATAATTTTGGATTCATATCGCCTGATGATCGAACGGAAATTGTTTTTTTTTTTTTCATTTTTATTACCCAATCAAAATTTCAGCATGTATGCAAAAACTTTGCTCAATTTGGAGCAAATTGGATAAAAAAAACATATTATTTCAAAATAATCACATGTATCATTTATTATCAAAAATATCTAGTTGTCGTTATTTATCTACTTGTTAAGCCAACAATGTTATTGTTCTAATGAACAGGTTCGACTTGATTTATCAATAAAGCAAATGAATGAAAAAATTAACTGGAATCCATTAGTCATCACATGATAATGATTTGTTTTTTTTTTTTCAGTTTCACGAAAGAATCACTTGAGCAGTCTCTATTGTTTCGCGAATTTCGGTTTTTGTAATTATGCATATTTGTGAGATATATGTTATTGTCTCTGTCGATAAATCGTCAATATAATAAAAAAAATGTCAACTAATATTGTTATATTCAGATAATGTTCACAAAGTCAAAATGTCACATGAAGAGAAAATTGATTCGATTTTGATAAAAAATGTTTGATTTATACAAGTTTCTAATCAATCTCTTAATTGCAGCGAAAGTGAAACAAACCTTACAACCATTACGTCCAATAAAAGACTGATGGTTGCCAATATTTACTAATGTTATGAATAACTATCACGAGATCATTTAATGAATGAATTAGAAATCTAATTGAAAAAAAAAGTGATTGAATTACAATTAACAAAGAAAAGGTGAATTCAGTAATTTCTTTATATTTGAAATGAATAATAAAAAAAATGCCGTTGTTATTTGAAATGAGTGCGCGTTTACATAATTGAGGAAGATTAACAAAGCGAAATAGTAGTGAACAAGGTATACTGGATAAAGTCGTATTGATTTACACACCGTACGGTAGCTCATATATAATCACGAAAAAGCAGGCAAATAGACAAAACTACAAAATCAAAATCAAGTTCAAAACTATTATTACAAATTTGATGAGCGACTCTTTTGCAGTGCGACTGATCACAAATGATAGTACAATGAATGTACATATTGACGCTTCTCACGTGCAGTTTTTTTGTGTTGTTGCTCATTTCAAGCATTCTGTTTTGTTGAGATTCGAACGGAATTGAATCGGCATTTGACGACATTTAATTTAAAGTTGAACAGGTACAAGACAATCGATTGACTTATAAGTAAACTACAATTACATAAATATTGTGATGTTTGCACAGGCCGCTTAGTAACCATGCAAAATGCAAATCATCACAACTTTTTCGTCGTCCAATTAAAAATTGATGTGAACAAAGAATTCTACATTTATTTATTTGCACATAAATGAAAGATTTTAATCAACACACTTTTTTTTCTTATCGTTATATCAACAAAAAATGCACATTTATTGATTTATCAAGGCATCACATTGACAATTGGAGACATAAAATGGATCGTAAATTTTGAGAAATGAACAAGATATTTAACTTGTTTAAAAAAAACGACTTTTAAAATTTTATACAAAGTCAATAAACTAATTCAATAAACTAGTTTTACAATTTTTTTTAGTAAAATTATTTATCGCCGTCTCAGGTCTTTCGTACAGGACACAAAAGAAAAAAAGTTTAATAAATTTCTAATCAATTTTAATTTAAACATAATCCAACTGATTGAAGTATGCGTGGTCGATCAATGAATCATTTTCGTGGAAAATTTGTTGACAAGTCAAAAAATGGAAAATCCAAGGAAAATGAATGGAAATACATTTGGAAGAAGAAAAAAAATTCCATGCAATGTATTTTGAGCGCTTACGATTGTATGAACAAGTGTAAACATTCGAACTGACGCATGTTTGAAGGCGCTCATTTGATTTGGATGGTATATTTCCTCGAATTTCTATGGATTCAGATGCATTGATAAATTTAATCATTGTTCAGCATAAACAAACATGTACGCCAACTACGAAATCAAATCAGTAGAGAGAAAAGAAAAACAACGTCAATCTATTTCGAGCATCTTCGCACATGCATCACAATCAAAGTAAGCGGATAAATTGAGCATTCATTCTCAGGGTCAACACAAACTCCAAAAAAAACGATAAATAACACACTAGCACAGTTAAAAGTACTTGTCATTCACATAAAATTGTGAACGAAATTACAATCAAATATTTGCAAAATATTTCACAAATTGTATCTATGGCACCGGTTTTTTTCTTCTTATTTTCTCTTTTTTTTTTTTTACTTTGATCGAAAAATTTGGAAAGTTAACCAAAATACTCACCGCCAAGGGAACAGATTTGCTTTTCTGGTGTAATGAAAACCATTGTTGTCGATTCAAATTAGAAGATATAAATTTAATCGATAATTTTTATTATTTGTTAAAACGTTTTTCACACATCAATTTAAAAAAAAAAAACACTAAATTAAAATTAACGAAAGAAAACCCGAAAATTTGTTCGATATCAATACGTTCATCAGGTATTCAAATGAATTCTATATCTGCTTATCACTCAATTTGTAGTTAATTTATTTCTTATACATTATGATGACAGTCTGGTTTTTTTTTTCTCTATTTTTCTTTGGTAATACACTTAAATTTTTGAATTGTTTCAACCACTTTTGTTCGTTAAACCGAAAAAATTTATAAACACACAAAACGAACTTAAACGAACATATTTGCCCAAATAGACAACAAAATATTATATGAAGTTATTATAAACAATATTTCAAAAAAAATATTTGAAGTATGTTTTGAATAATGCCGTTTTATCCGTAAAACCGAAGGAGAAGAAAAAAAATGTGTCGTCTGATGACGTGCCGAAAGGCGTTTAGTTTGAACACAGCATTTCAACTGAACTCAATACATGATATTTATGTGAATTATTGACTTGTGCGGTGGCTGCTTTTGTCTCGTATTTTTTCTGTCTCATGTCGATGTCATCTCTTTTCGCTCACAGAAAATTTGTCGCAAAAGATCACTCTGAATTTATTTGTAAAGTGTAATACATACAACAATGAATTTCGCCCCAAACTCAATGTGACAGAATCGTCATAGCCGAACCGTTGATGCGTGCGCTTGTGGTTGTGCTTCGCACTGTGTACTGTATATGTATATTTGAAATTTGACTCTCAGTTTTCTATCTTTCTCTTCGATTGAATTCGATGTTTGGGCTGGTGCTCGGTGCTACTGTGCTCTTTGCGTTTGTATTTATTTGGATTTTTGTTTTCGGTTGTGATATGATTCTTCCTATTTGCACTTCGATCTCACTCTCTGCCTCGTTTTGTTATCGTTTATGTTGATTCTTAGAAAATTTCCTTTCGCTCAATTCACAGAGTTTGTTCATTTGTTTGGTAAAAATGATAAATTTGCTAATTAATAATCGAAGAATAGTTGTTTTGGCGCTTTACAAATATCTCTTAACAGGTATTTCTATACATTATGCTTTTTTGGAGACTAGTGAATCAAAAGAAGAAGAAAATATTCCATAATGAGTGTGCAATTTTTACTTGGAACATTGATAAGGGCAGTCTTTTTCTAATGCCATACAAAATAAACACAGGATTCATTTCACCGATCTCTTCATTTTCGTGATTATCACTTTTTTGTGTGTGGCAAAGAAACGACTGATTTGTATGTATAATGAAACGCGTCTCTTACATTCAAATTCAAATGGTTGGTTATTCGTTAATTTTATAAGAAAATAAATAAATTTGCGAAGATGTGGTCATATTATGTGCCAACTGTCAATCGTTATGGACTGCTTTGGCATACAAAAAGCATTTAATGTTTAATACGATTGTCGCAACGTTTGATATACATATCTAACCTAAACCATCACATTTTCAAATGATCAAACCAAATTAGCACAATAAAATGCGAGCTTGTCTTCCTGCAAAGTTGAAAATCATTCTACAATTATGATGATGGTGATTAGCAATAGACATACACACACAAAAAAAAAAAACAATAATTAAATTTACATTTGAATTACATGTGTAATTCGGTGCGCAGCAATTGATCGTTAGGCCCATTCGACAATTGTGTTGACATTTTGAATGCCAATATTTACAGTTTACACATCAACATTTACGAACGAGCTAAATCTAACTGCGTATGATTAGTGATTATTTCAAATTGTTTTCTTTTTCGGTTGTTTTCTATTTGTTTCGGTTGATTGTTGAATTAAATGCAAATGATTCCTTTATTTTCCAGAATTCACACGATTCAATGTGATTGAACGGTGTGCACAATTCAATACAAAACAATTGTAATGATTTATTCTCATCGTTAAATTTTGTCGAAATCAATTTCAATTTGAATATCAATCGAAAAATGCTGACTTTGAGAAAAGAGCATAACATTTTATGACAAAGTATAAGCAACAAACAGTATCTATTTGAAAATTTCCGTTAGATTGTAATTTCTAAGAAGTAAACACTAAACAGAACATCATTGATTTACAAAGAAAAAAAAATTGATGCATAAGGGAAAAGTACTGCATTTTTGATATTGTTTTGTAATTAAATGATAATGCAGCAGACTAGAAAGTACGTGTTGAAATGAAATACGTTTCTTCCGGGATACGTTTTTGCATAAAATAATATCAAAAGGTTAATTTTTTATTAAGGCGAACACAATGTATGCGAAATTTATGGAGTAACCAGTTGCATAATAATTCATAGCCGAAAAATGTGTGCGACCGATATACGCAATAGCATTGAACATAGCACTGTCTTTGAATCAATTGCATATCAATAAGTTTGAAATTAGCATGCACACGTAAAATAAGTAATACCTTTTTTTATATAAATGAATGTGCACGAAGAGAGTCAATTGAAAACAAAAAAAAAAAGAGCCGTATTTGAATTTGCAAATAGAAACATCTTGACAATCTGTGCATACACTCAAAAACATTGACATTGATTTTGTGATTAAAGTGCAGTGAAGGTCCAAAGTTCTAGTCTTCTATTGCACCCTTGATTTGGATTGAATGCAAAATCTTGTTTCTTATCACTTTTTACGTGGGTGGATGAGCAAATCATTTCAATGGCAATATTTACGTGGGGAACCTTCATTTTTTTTTTTGCAAACACAAAAAGTGTATCCAATTATTATTGCCAATAGCATTCAAAAATTCTATGACTTCGGTAAATAATGTAATTATTCGATAATTTGTTGTTATTTTAGCCCACATAAGTCAAATCGTCAAAAGGGTAATATTTTGAATTGTTATAGTTGAATATTAATGGTTATAGTTGAATATTAATGGATTACAATACGAATGATAATTTAAACAGAAATATTATCTTGAATATGAAATAGAACACATAAATTTCAAGCGAAAATTGTCCCATCAGGTTTCGGATTTTTTTATTGACGTACTGTCATATTTCATTGACATATTTATTGAGATTCGGGGAAAAGCGATTGATATTCGATTTAAAAAGTCATCAACAGATGAGCACAGTTAGATAATGAAATTCTTGCGTAAGTGGCAGTGAAGTGAACCGGTTTGACGTTTCTTTTCTAACTGATTTCGGAGCGGTATCTCGAATTGGTTTCACTTGTGTGTTGAACATGAGTTTTCTGCGAAAACTTTTTGCAATGAGGTACGGGCACGTGTCCTCGATTTAGTACGTCCTGTCCTCGATTTAGAGAAATGAGAAAAATCCACACATTTGTAGGGACGCAAATTGACCAGCTTGAATTAAAAACTTTCTCCATACTTATTACCTCCATATTTTTTATTAAAGTGAAACCCTTTTTTTGCTACGTATTATTATTGTAAATCGAAAACGATTTTAAAAATTGCACACACACAAAATATGCACGTGTTGATTAATCACATATTTGTAATGAAATGTTTCAGATGACTCAAGGTGTCAATCATCGAATTAACGTGTTTATTTGCTCAATTAAATTCGAGGTAGTTGCACACAGTTAATGAAATTTTAACATAATCACTCCCACTTCCGAGTTTGTATTATGGACATTTTATTGAAGCACCTTATCAATTACTGAAACGATTGATTTGTCGATCAACAACCTGTTTAAATAGAATTGTTACCTTAAAACGTTTTTTTTTTTTTTGTGTTTGACCGGAAAACAAACTGAAATATCACAGTAAATTAATATCATAATAAACTAGTATTAAATTAACTTACCTGTTAAATAACAATGGTTTGTGGTGTATTAAAAATAAACACGTTGTAATTACCAACATTCTTCAGCTCTTACTGTTATTTTGAATTTGAGCATCATCCGAATAAAACAAAAATTGTAAAATTTTTGTTTCAGATTTTATTTGTTAATATATATTCTCAATACAAGAATTATTTTTTTCTTTCATGCAGTTTCCTTCACCGTAAATATTATTTTCATTAAATAAATATACAAATGCCATTTTTGTTTTAAATATCCATCCATTTGAATGCTGGACAAAAAGTCTTTGACATTAGCTCTTTGTTGTACTGATTTGAAAACGGCGCTTTCACATATCATATAAATCTGAACATTGAATACAGTGTTTATTCATTTGAGCAATGGTTTATGAGCATTTCTTTTTAAATTAAATAAAGTTAGTTTGCGCTCAATATTTAATTTAAGAATATTTTTTTTGATAGCATGGTCCCAATTATGGGTATATTACGTCTACATTCTGAGCCATTTTGTTCTCATTTAAAAAGCTGTCGTGTTGTTGTCAAAACAATTCCGAATTGGTGTAAAATCATTTGTGGAATTAACCTTGTATGCTGTATTCCATCGCATTTAAATTTCTCTCTGTAAAAGACAATTATCAACAAACTAAATAACAAAATTTCATTTTTTTTTTTTTCTTTACATAAACTTTGCATGATCTCACCATTTTTGTTTTGTTATAAAAAAAAGTTTATTAGAGGTTATTGGTCCAAGATTTGAACCAGTTTATGAAAATTGATTTATTGTTTTCTTAGTAAAAAGTGAAAAAATGGTGCAAAGAACGAAAACAAAAAAAAAACTAAATAAAATACTGGATTTGTCTGAAAGTGAGTTATTTAACATTCCGATGGTCAATGTAAAACCACAAAGCACACCGAACCCATTCATTATCGCCAAGATATTCAAAAATTGTAATTTCTTCTTTTTTTACTTGTGCGCATTTCGGTCACAAGATACTCCGTCCAACTGTTTGCCAATTGATTTAACAACTAATGGGTTTCCCCGTTTTACATTTAATTAGCACATTGAATTTCAAAGTAAATAATGTCTGTATGGACTATAGCCTGTGGATATTAAATAATTTTTTTTTGTTGTATGTATTTGATATTAACATCGAAAGTTTATTTGTACCGAAAAGTGTTGAGGATATTTCGTAGAATGGAAGTTTCTATGCATAAATTATTAATGAGCATTACGAAATTGAAAAACATGACGGATACACCATTCTTTCTTCTTCTTTTTTTGATGATGTCTTGGAGTAGATGTATATATGTGTTTTACAGTTGACGCATTTTTTCTCAACAAAAAAAATTATTAATTTTAAACAATGTAAATTAGTTTAAGTTGTCCAGGCCATCACAATTTTTTGAAACGGTACAAAAATTCCATGTTGCGGTTCACTGTTGAGCAAATGAGTTTATGAGTTTGATCATTTCGAATATTAATTAATATAAAATGATGATTGAACATTTACCAATCAAAAAATTTGCGACCCTCAAACGATCCATTGCAATCGCCAATTTTGTTTGGCAATTGTAGTCCCACATATGTTTCATTTTCATTATCAATTCCAGTGCTTTCGGCGTTATTTGATGCTAATGGTCCAACGTATCGTACACGTCCAATTACTACGCGCCCATTTTTGGCGATTACTTTGGCCAAATGTCCGGGTTTTAGACATTTTGAAGATTTTGGCAGAAATGGTAACGTTTGTTTTGAAGGACTGAAATCTGACGAAATTTATTAATAAACACCACCATCAAAACATATTTAAATCTCATTTTACGAAATACGAATGATTATAATATTCTACACGATTCTTTCAATGAAATTCATTAGAATATGAAAAATTAGTGCAAAAAGTAAAACTAACAGCATTAAATTGATTCTGCTGGAAAAATGTCTGCAAATTAAATACCCTTTTTGTTTATATCATTTTCCGAGCATCTTCTTGGTGCATTTTTTGCAAGAAATCCACTGGAATGTGCTGTGTCTGAATCATGCAATAAAACGCCATCGATTGATTCACGTAAAAAATCTTCAGCTTCATCTAAAATGCTTTCAGTCGAACCACATGAATCGCCGTGTCGAAATGCAGTCGAACGTGATGCAATCCTTGAACGTGGACAACCGCATGCACATTCTGGTCTCAAATCCGGCAAAGATCCACGTACTGAATTCGATTTTATCTCTTGAAATGTGACACGTGGTGTATAATGCATACTTTCTGACATTTTGATGCCGCCGTGATGACGATGCTTGCATAGTGCACACCGAACTGAAGGACAACTTCTCGAACGATTATGCTTGCCAAATGACAGCTTTGAGCCTGAATGCAATACAAAAAAAAAATTACTAAAAATTCCCAATTGTGACTGACATAAATGATGGTATTAATCAGCTCACCAATCGAATAGCTTTTACATGAATCGAATGAATCGCCATGTTGTACGCTCCAGTTATTATCAGTTTGCATAGTTTGTGTGCCAAAGCTATTTTCATTCACAGTCCACTGTGAAACACCCGGTGATGTAAGACTCATGCTTGGCGTAATTCTGTAACGAGATCAATTTAGCCATGGTCACATTGAATATATTTCAAAAAATTGTTTGATATCTAACCCGCGATGTCCATAATCTGGAGTTTTGAGGTATGGTCCCTTTGAGTAATCATTGCCATCTTCATTATTATTTTCAGAATTTTGTTCATCTTCGCCATGGCTTAAACGATCAGTTGATCTACATAATTGCGTTTCAGAACGTGATAGTTCAGGAACCATACTAGTGAAATTTATATCACTTAGCAAAACTCGTCGTGCCTCTCGCGTCTTCTCGGATACTCTAAAAAGCATCGCATTTTTGGTAAATTTATGCTGTAACGGTATTTTTGTTTCACTTACTTTAATGGATGTTTGCAAGCGCTTGTGCCCGTGGTCTGCACAAATTTTGATGGTAATGTAAAGAATCCATTGCTCAGTCCGGCCATCAAATGACTTTCGGAACGCCAATGCTCTGGTAGTGTCGACAATGTTATGTCTGTTTGAACGGCGCTGCTTCGTTTTGGCCCACCTCCGCTGGAATCCGTCGGATTTGATCGATTATTGTTCATCGTCGACAAATGAGTGCGGGCATTTCGCGCAAATTTCACCGCCAATGGACATCGAACCATTGAAGTACCAACATTATTATTGTTGTTGTTGTTGTTATTATTATTATTATGCAAAAACCGTCCGATTGCTTCGCGATGTATTAGTGGTCTGTATGTGGTTGTATTCGGGCATGTATTTCGTCTTCCTTTGTCTGGCACACCTTCCTCAATCACACCTATTTTCGAAATATCCGTCTCTTGGAAAACATTGTAGTTTGTCCAACGTCTACCCATCGTTGATGAATAACCAGGCTGTAAAAAAATAATTAAATTCGATGAAAAAAAAAATCAATTTATTTTTATCAAGATTTCCAATTTGACACCTACTTGTTCAAATGTATCAAAACTTTCATCACGTATTAAACCATTTTCGTCGCCATTCTTTGGATTCGAATCTTCATCCAAGCTCATTGATTTTACATTCAAATCATAACTGTGTTTTATGTTATCGCCTAAACTTAGACTATCAGTGCTCTCTAAGCTCAATTGTTGTTGTGCCACATTTTCTTTGATCGCATTGTAAAATTGATCTGGATCAATTGGCGACGGTGATGCCGTTAATTTGTCGTGCATTTCATCCACACCCTCATTGTCCGATGAAATGGTATTGAAATTCACCAAAATTGGTGTACCGGATTGGCCGCACACTTGCCATGGTTCATAGTATGATATTGATACTAAATCCTCTTGTGGAAATTCTTTGTCGTCCGACGACAAAATCAATTCAATATCATCAACTTCTTCATCATTATCACATGATGAACGATGCGGTGACGATTGAATCAATGCGGCCTTGGATGTGCTTGCACCAGCATTTTCATCAAGAAAAACGGCATCATCTATAATACCGCCTACGGCACCTTCATTATCCGTCTGGTCTTCGGCCTTCAAATGTTTATCATCGCCAATTTGTACATTTTCAGTGGGAAGTACTACAATCGGTATGATTTTTTCTTCGTTTCCTTCCATTTCATCACTTTTTTCCACATTTACATTTTCTTTGTCATTGCCAGTGTCTGTGGATGAATCTCTTGGTGTTACTGTTTCTGCAATGATAAATTGTTTTTAAATACTTTTCCTTCAAAAACCACATTTTATTGAAGAAAAAAAATGTTCAAATACACACACACATACATACAGTTAAATGAAGAAAAATAAAAAGTTTCACTTTAAAATGTTAAAATATTTACCTGAATTACTGTCTCCGGTAGTTTCTGAGCTGCTTTCACTACCATCGATTTTAAAATTCGATGTTAGTTTGATTTTCACATCAATTTTGGAAGCCATTTGTGGTCGCTTATTGGTTAATAAATGTGATGTATCTGTTGTTTTTATTTCAGGCTTTATTATCTTGATATCCGTTTTTATGGGATGGACAACAAACCGATTGCGATGACTATCATGCGTGGTAGCTTGATGTTCGTACGAATTTTTATTTTCGGTGGTGGTGGTTGTTTTGTTGCTGGATGCCGATGATTGTGGTTGTTCGTTTAAATTTGACGATTGACTTGAGCGATATGTGTTTGGCACATCGCCAGTTTCATTCGCATTTTTATTTAAAATCGCTGTGCTTTGATTTGTTTGCACTTCTGATGCCAATGGTGTATGTCCGAAGAGATTTTGATCGTCTGTATTGGCAATGGTACTCAAGTCCAGTGTCAATGGAAAATGTAAAAGATTCTCACTTGATTCGGTGGCTAATTCTTGTTCGCGAAATTTTTTACCTTCTTCAATGTCTTCGTTTACAGTGATTCGCTTTTTTAGTGTATCAATTTCACGATGTGCCTCTTCAAGCGCTTTGCGTAACGATACAACTGTCTGATGCAATGCACGAACTGTGTCTAATGATTGAAATGCAACTGTTGTTGGAATGTGGTGGTCGTTTTGTCGTATAGAGCACACATGTTGATGTTGTTGATGTTGTTGATGGCAAAGCCGTTCAAATCGATAACAACAATCATCAATTTGTTCCATTGAAACATGTCAAAACCGTTTCGAATTTGGATTTACGAACTCGAAGAGCCATACAGTTTTACCGACTATGATTTCACTGTGTGTGCTCATTCGCTGTTGGTATGTGTGTGTGTGTGTGTGTTGCTTTTGTTTTCGAGTGCACAATTGAAATTTGATTTGTTTCAATTTATTATAAATTATATTCTACGGAGTTAGTAAAATGCGTTACTGTTTACGTTGTTGTTTATTTATTTTTTCCGTTCATCGCTTGCATACAAATACACATAAAACTCAGTTTAAGTGAAGTCAATACAATATCCGTGAGGCCTGAAAAGAGAAACGAAAAAATTTATAAATGATTGTGATTGGGTTTATTTATTATTCGTTTTTAACTTATTGTTTATAAATTGATATGACATTTTATTTTCGCATTAAAAGTACCATATTCTGTTTAACATTCGTTTCGTATGGCATTAGAACAACATTTAAAGTTGAACATCCAAATGCACATGAAATGACAAAACTATTATTTCACGAAGTAATTACTATGTTAAATGTTAGACAAACATCGGAAGTAAAAAAACCGAAGAGTTCTTTGTTTGAAGTCAGTCATTGTTGCAATATTAATTGCATTTAATTCTTTCTTGAAGTGTTTGCATGGCGCCTTTCTCCGCCAAACTACTACAATATTAATGGATAAATTGATGAATGGATGAATGGATTGCACGCACATGGTAACATTCACCTATATCTTGATTGACAATTAGCTATTTTTCATGCCACAAATTTATTTCACATTTTCTTTTTGTTTGTGTTGCATTTCCTCAATTGCTTTGCCAAGTTTAACAAGCCATTTCATGAGCTTTGCTATTACAAAACGTACTGAACGGCATACAGGCGCTTATTTATTTCAATTAGGTATAAAAAAAATATTGTTGATTACTATCGACATCGCTAATAAAACAATTAACATCAAACAGATTTTGATTTAAAAATTTCAACACCGTTAAGTATTTGATGATGTGCAACAGCACACAATGTCATGCGTAAATTTAGTTTTGAGTATGTTCGAATATCAATATAGATTCAAAATCTGGTTCGAAGAAAAAATGGCTATAAAAATCATAATAAATTCGTATTCAAATTTTGTTTGCCACTGTTCTCTGAATTTTCAGCTGTTTTGATTTTTTGTCAGCTTAATAAATTATCAGCAATTTGTGTTCAGCAAAAACGAACCATTGCAATTTCCGTGATTTGAAAGCATTTGGAGCTACTTTTTTTTCAATAGCAATCACTTTTAAAATGAAATGATGTGAAATTACGTTTATTTCATGTGATTTGTACGGAAGTGTGCAAAACGTATTGTGTGTTAAAACGAAAGAAGAATATTCAGGATTTATGGCACTATAGTGGCGTTGGTACGATGAAAAATTTCCCCTACAATTAAAAAAAAGAAACACATTTTTGAAACCTTAGAGAAGGCGAACCGGGTTTCGTACAAAATAGTACGGTCGACGTAGAAAATTCTGCCAATTTACCAATCAAAGGAAACGTTTCCAAGCATAGGCAACGAATTTCGTTGAATGCGATTGAAAAAGTTTTAATGTTTGCTTGTTGCCGTCTGACAGAGCATTTTTCGCTTACCATTTCACAGCGGTGAGCAAAAATGAAATTTAGGGTTTTTCAGTGTAATATTTAATTAAAACCATGCATCATCTCTCTTTGGTCGCAAACTCATTTTCGCAAAACGTTTTTGAAAATTAACTGTACGAACGAACGAGTGTCTGTAGGTATTCCGGGCAAAACTATTGTTTTCTATGGAAGAAAAACGACTCAGTGAATTCAAGTATATGTCAAAAAAAGTGTTGAAAACGCCAAAACGGAAAGTTTAGATATGAAGTTTAAATAGCACCATAAGCACATAACTTGAGGAAATAAGCATATTTGTAGATGATTGCTGAATGTTGGAGGTCGTTTAGATTTGACATCAATTTGAGAGCCATCAATTTTGGTGCATAATTTCATTGACATTAAGGAAAAACTTTTAATTTTTTTTAAAAAGCTTTAGCACTCTGACAGTAGCCTTTGAATTTATGAAACGGCATTGATCATTTCATTTGCTCCTTTTTTTACATATACATTTTTTTTGGATTTAGATCGATTTGATTGAAGTCATTTAATATGATTGAGCCGAATACAATATGAAACATTATTGGATTATTGGATTATTGGATTTGTGCAGGGAGTATACTAGGTCAACTTTTCAGTAAAATCCTTTGTTCTCGTTGCTCAGGTTTTGTACACGATTTTTCAATGTACACGAATCAATAGTCTGTTGTTTAGAAGATATGCTTCAGGCTTCGATTTGAGTCACATGCCCTTTTGTAGAAGTTTAATATGTCAAAAATGTTGGGTTTATTTGTTTGTGGATGCACAATGCTTCCGCCAAACTCACCCCTTAGATCGTTTAGTAATGAACATCTGCATATGAGGTGAGAAGTAGTAGCAGGGTCATCCCTAAGACGCATGGAACTTAAATGATCTTTCTGGTCGAACGTTCTGAACGTTCTTTCTGGTCGAATGTTATCAAATGATTGGATCTATTATGCTGCTCAAAGAGAACGATGGACTCATTTCAATCGTATTAGAATCTATCAATTTCACATTCGAAAATTAATCTGAAAATGCTCAAATCGAAAATGATTTAGATTCACCAACTAAAACTCATTAGAGGATTTACGTGTGAGTATTGCGATTGCGCCAGATGAGAAAAATTTAAAATGGTAAAAAAAAACCATTGTTGAATTGTTTGATGCTTCATAAAATACGTTGTGCCAAGTTACTGTTAAATGAGAAATGTGTGCAAAAACAAAACAAAACAATAAAACAAGAAACAGATTATGGTTCGTATGCATTGTGGAACATCGGGCAATGTTGCATCAATGTACGCGCGTATGTTCATGAAGCGCGTGTTTGTTTGCGTAACTCGCGAAAAGTTTGTTCTGTGCTGAGTACAAAATAAAGTTCAAATTATTTATAGAGTTGTTCTAGATTGTTATGTAAAACGAAAATATAATGTTTTCTATTCCATTTGTCTTTTGTTCATCTCTTTTCCATTGGCCCGTTTCCCAACCAAACACCAACCAACACAAACGATTCTATGCTAAATACCTGACAAGTCAACTGAATATTTTATTGTTTGCGTATATTGTTACACTTTAATTTTAAGGTTAATTGTTTTATTTTTATTTCACTTCATGTCTATGACGTCGTTGTCTGTATCATTCATTGCAATATTCATTTTTAATGTGTAAAACAGTCTTGAATAACAGAAAAACAACAACATCATGCAAAAAAGACAGTCGAAAATAATCTAATAATAAAAAAATATTTGATTTCCACTAATATATCGCTGACACTGGCTGATGTAATCGAAAGAAAAAGATTTGCTTTGCTTCTTCAAATCTGTGTTTTCAGTTCCAAAATGGTTTTTAAGCCATTGACTGCATAATATTATAAACACCCTTCACGTGTTCGCAATTGACTTTTTTATCATGATATTTTTAACTGAATCCATTCGCTGAAAATAGACTATATACAAGCATTACACATAGTACGTTGGATGAATTCCTTTGTTTTGCCCCATACAATACGCTGAAGGACGAACAAATACCATTGAGACACACAACTCATTTAATGCATCTAACCCAGAAAGTACATGACATGCGAATTCATTCACATTTGGCAATCTTATGCGAATCTAAGTATTTTCTTGAACCATCATTGTTCTGATTCCATATAGTTTATTGTTCTTTTATTACGATTACGAAAAATTGTCACACCCTCAAAATTGTATAATGTATTTATTTTTCTTAGCAAAAATAAAATCGATTTCAGTTGAATGTGTACGTAATAAAAGAAATTTTTTTTTTTGGTATTTCAAACACTGGAAATCAAATGTGAACGCTTTTTCAACAGAAATGGTTTCTCTTTAGTGCTTCTATGACTCCACAGAGTACTTTTCCACGCATATGTTGCGCTGAGAACATAGCTTCTGAAATCGGAAATGCAATGGGAAGGGTAATTGTTTGCAATTTTACAAAAAATCTGAAACCCTTAGCAAATCGAAACAATATTTATCGGCAAAAACTCGAGAAAAAACATATACCTCATTCCAATCGCATCAAAATGGATTACAATTTTGACCAAAAAAGTTCTAGCGATTGACTTTTGATCTAGCTCAGCTAAACCAGGTGTCATCGAGAATGTGTTTAGAATATTCTGGGGGCCTTCATGTATTTTTATTGCATGACATTTGCGTATTATCGTTGCATATTGGCACATCGGTGAAATATCGGCATATCTGTAAAATATCGTAAATATTCGGGTATTTTTTGATAATTAATTGTTCTGGAAGTGGGGTTTGGTGGATCCTCTGGATGGACAAGACCATGGTTTGACAATGCCTTGGCCCATCCTGAGGGTCCACCAAAGCCCACTTCCCATATAACTCATTTGCGGAGTAATTTTGTCGATGACGGGACTGTGCGGGTGACTGTGTACTAGTGCAACAGCATTCTTTGCTGTTCATAGATTTATTTTGTCCAAACGAACATCTTCATAATCATCTGCGTAAGAACGATACACATTTGTATGTCATCTCCGCCAAACTCCGCACAGTCCCGCCACCGTCAAAATTACTCCGCAAATGAATTATATGGGCTTCAGAACAAAGATACTTCGCATATCGGCCAATATCGGTGGATTTTTGGCACAAAATAGTGAAATCGGTAAAAATTTGCATTATTTGTTATACTGTTGTTTATTCGTCGAATTCGGGAAAGAAAATCTTACATGAAAGCCCTTAGCGAATATTTTTTTAAATTCCACTTGTTTAAACATCTATCCATCAAGCATTACTTTCAAATACAATGACAGTGTATTTTTGTATAAAATTAGATCAAAAGAAGCAAGTCGAAAATAAACTTAAGGTAAAGAAAAAAGTGTAAAAAGGTACTTTCTTGATTAGGTCCATTAGTTATATAGCCATTTGGATGAGCAACGCATACATTATTTTATATACATTGTGTAAAAGATCTGACATTCTATCATCAATACAGACTCTGTGTAAACCACAAACGAATTTTAGGCGAGCACATCGACTGAGGCAATACCCAGTCAAAGTAAATGTGGACATATAGTATATGTGTAACATCACTCGCGAATAATACAAAACTCAATCAGTCTAGTATAGCATTGTGTGACGCAGTGCTCAATATATTCGCAGAAAAATCTTCGGTACATTATATAAACGTTCGGCAAGGATT